GTACTTATTGGCAATATATTCAAAGTTCCACTTGCAACATGATCACGTATAAAATGATGCTTCACATCAATATGCTTTGATCGCTTATTTTCCATGTTTTTCGACATAAATATGCTTCCCCGATTATCTTCAAAAATGGGTACAGAGTTTTCTTTGTTAAGGACCTGCATATCTTCCAAAATTCCTTTTAACCATATAGCTTCTGATACGGCTGAACTAAGAGCAACGTACTCAGCTTCACTAGAAGATTTTGCAACAGTTATTTGTTTCTTACTGGACCATGAGACGCAATTTCCGAATGCCATAAATATGTAACCACTTACAGAGTTTCGATCGTTTATAGCTGATGCCCAATCTGCATCACAATAACCAATTATAGGATCACTCTTTTCGTTTCTAATAAAATTCAATTTAAAATTTTGCGTCCCTTTCAGATACCGTAGTATTCTTTTAAGTGCTTTCCAATGCTCTTCTGATGGATTCTGCTGAAAGCGACCCATATATGCAACATTATAACAGATATCTGGCCTTATACACAGCATTAGATACATTAAACTCCCTAACAATTCCTTATGTTTATCAATAATTTGAAAGTTTTTGTCCGTAGGTATCTTTGATAAGTTGCACTCTTCCATTCCAAACTTCTTTAGTATTTTTCCAATACTAGAAACTTTCGATAATTTCATACTGCCCTTTAAACGATCATATTCAATTTTTATTCCTAGAAAGTAGTTAAGTTCTCCACAATCTGACATTTAAAATTTTTCTGGCAAATTCTTTTTCAGGTCGCCAATGGATTCAATATTATTACTTCCAATAAGCAGGTCGTCAACATACAAAATTAAATATATAATGCTGCTACAATTAGTTTTTATATATAAGAAGTAATCATACGTCGTTCTCTTGAAACCGATCAACAATAAAAATTCATTAATCTTCTCGTTCCAACAACGAGGACTTTGCTTTAGTACATATAAAGATTTTTCTTATTTACAAACTTCATCATTTGCTAGGACTCCTTCAGGTACAGTCATATAAATTTCTTCCTTTAAATTGCCATGTAAAAATGCTGTTTTGACATCCATTTGGTGAAAATAAAACCCCTTTTGCACACCAACAGCCAAAACTGTTCGAATAGTTGGTAATTTTGCAGCAGGTGCGTAGCTTTCTCCATAATCAATTCCAGATTTTTGTAAAAAACCTTTTGCCACAAGTCGTGCTTTGTAACGAGTGGGACATCCGTTTTCATCTTCTTTAAGACGAAACACCCACTTTGATTTTAAAGGCTTAATGTCTACTGGTCGCTTTACAATTTTCCAAACGATTCAACTCATCTTTGATTGCTTTCATCCAAAATACCTGATCGAATCTGCTATTTATTTCACTAAATGATTCGGGATGATTATTATGATTTTGTTCTGTGTTATAACTAAAATAATTTAAAACTGCGTCTCAGTTTAGGTAAGTTATTTTCAACTATTCTCCCTTGTTCTTCGTTTCCCTCCTCAGCGTCATACAATCTATCGTCATCATATAGTTGTGGCCTTGTTTCATGCTCCTCACATGTATTACCGGTATTCTCAGTCTGCTCATCAGCAAGATATTCCCCTCCTTGACCGGTTATGCATGTAGGCTCAAATTCTACTATACTTCTTTCTTTACAAGCCTCAATATGATTATTTCCAAATGGATATTCTGATTCGTTGAATTTAACATCTCTGGCAACAAACAAATTTTTATTATTCAAGTTCCATAGTCTATATCCATTTTGCGCATATCCAATCATTACTGCCCTAAAACTCTTTTCGTCCAGTTTCTCCCTTTTCTGCTCTGATATCCAAGCATAAGCCGTGCAACCAAAAACTCGCAATCGTTCTAAATTTGGCTTTTTACCGTACCATAACTCAGCTGGAGTTTTATTACCTTTCAACGCCATTGTGAAACTTCTATTTATAAGATATGTAGCCGTAAGTGCAGCTTCACCCCACATATGTTTCGGACATCTTGCCACTATAAGTAGTGTGCAAACCTTCTCAACTAAAGTCCGATTGAAACTCTCCGGTACACCATTTTGTTGTGGCGTATACGCAATGGTGTCCTCCGCTTGTATTCCCTTCTCCTTTTAAAACTTACATTGTTCGTTTGATGTGTATTCTCCACCTTGATCCGACCTTAGAATTGAAATTTCACACAAATCACATTAAACTAAAGCTTCATATTCCTTAAATTTTGAAAACACCTCCGATTTCTTTCGGATCAAATATATCATAGAAAAATGCGTATAATCATCTACAAAAGAAACAAATTAGCGGTAACCATTAAACGTTTTAGGTGTAATTGGTCCACAAACATCACTGTGAATCCTTTCCAGTGGACGCTGGCTTCTTTCGCGCGTTCCACCAAACACCTATCGACATTGTTTGCCTTTAATGCAAACATCACATACAACAAATACTTTTGCATTTGAAATTCCCAACACGGCTTCTTTTCGAGCCATATCTTCAAGTGTTTGTTGATTAATATGGCCTACACGCCTGTGCCACAATTTGCTCTTTTCTGCCATGCATAAATTTGCATTTGCTATACCTTTAAAAATACGTAGTAAATACAGGTTACCAATCAATTCCGCTGTAGCAATATTATTTCCTCTATTTCTCATTTCAGCGATATCTCTTTTAAAATCTACTGTAATTCCTGCTTTTGTTAACTTACGTACGGATAGAAGATTATCGCGCAGACCAGGAACATAAAGAACATTCTTCATTTAAACTAGAATATTCGTATATCCGCTAATATTGCCGAACTCTTTTGCTATCAGTGCCTCACCATCCTTTGCTACATTAATATATATGGACTTTTCTAACAACTTTAATGTTTTAAAATGTTCCCTCTCATTAACCAAATGATCACTAGATCCCGAATCTAGCACAAATCTTATATCACCTGCTTCCATATTTACGCAACCTTCTTCTAGAGACTCTCCACATCCGCTGCCATTCCTTTTATCGCCGAAGAAACACAGCATTAGAACCGCCTTCATTTGAGTCAATCGCAAGACTCGCATCTTTCTTGACTTTGCAAAACGCCTTTTTATGTCCCGTTAAAAGTATACCGCTTTCCATGTATTGCAAATGCAGTAGAACCTTTTTCGCTGTACTCGTTACAATTACCACGTTCAATACGTTTACGATCCTCTGCGAGTAACCTTTGTTTTACAAACTGAATTGTTAGCTCTTCATCCTTCATATTCTCGAGAGCCGTAACCAATGAATCATAGCTCTCTGGTAACGAAAGCAAGAGCTGAGAAACTAGATCACTTTCTTTCAAATCTGCCCCTGCTGATTTTAGCTGCCGGATCATATCATTAAACTCCAAGAAATGATCCTTCATTGTTCGCCGCTCCGTGAGCTTCAGCCTTGCCAACTGCATCCTGATAATTGCCTGACTTGTAGCAGACTTCACTGCAAAAACTTCCTCCAGACTTTTCCACATTTCTCGAGCCGTTTCTTTGTCCTTTACGTAATTCAAATATTCATCTGATATGCAGCCCACCATAATTGACTACGCTCGTTTGCATTTTTCATTAAATTTCTCCACTTCTGCGCCAGAAACGGTTGGAGCTTGCCCAGTTACAGCTTCCAACAATTTCAATGAATCCAAGTACATCCTTACACGAAAACTCCAGTTTTCATATCCTGTACCATTAAATTGGAGGATCCCGAAGGGTACGTCCTTACGTGAGTCGCCCATAACCTATTGTAATCCTTAAACAGCACAATGAAACCAGAAACATACCAAACTGATTGAAAGTTTATTATTAAAAATTATTTTCTATCATGTACATAAATAAATATCAAAGCATATTCAATGTACATAAATTGTGAGAGTAATTCTTATACACAGTAGTTATAACAATTTTCGCAGCACGAACTGTTACTAGGCTAAAGGAAACCTGGTTTGTGACATAAAAAAGGAAAAGAAGACGTTTCTCTGCTGCAGCAAATGTTTTTATAGGGCACTTTCAAACATGTTACCTCTCAAAGGCTAGTTCGGTGAGACTAGGAATTCCTTTGGTATCAGCTGTCAAGAGGAAGATGAAGTGGCATCATCTCCACACTTTCTTTTACATTGTCCAACCTTCGCGAGGCTAAGTTGGAAGCATTTTGGCTCGCACTTCTGAACAGCTCTCAGGGATCGAAATTAGCTGCATTCAAAATTTCATAATCGGCTCGCGGCGTTAACTTAACCCAACCTAAGCTGTACTTCTTTGAGATATGAGATAGTTGGTCACGTTATGCATAACCAAACATCCATTAACACTATCAAGAACAATATGAACCAAAAATACAAGATCACGCTAGAAGAAGAGTAGCCCGTTATAATCGCAATTAGGAAAAAAGTAAAACGATGTTTACAATAGCCGTTGGTTTACATTTGTTCGGGGTTTTGCAATTTGGCGGTGGCTTTTTACTGAAATTTTCTTCATTTTCGCATTTGACAACTTGTGTACACTGAGGGAAAAAAATATTAAAATCAAATAGAAACTTAACTGATCTTACCATAAACGTCAACGAAAGTAGTATATATTGGTAAATATTCAATTCAATTGCATCCGTGAAGTGAATAATCAAGATAAAAAGAAAAAAAAAGTTAATTTTTAATTAAAATCAGATAGGTTCTAATATATGTATATTTTTCTTACCAAACACTTGAATTATGAAGCGTAAATTATTTTACAGTACTTTCAACACAACCTACTTAAAACTCACTCAATCAATTTACTTAGAACTTGGTTTCAAAACGGAAAAAAGGTAAAAAAAAGTGCATTTAAAGCTTTAATTTGTTATTTTTTGGTTTATTCAAGATTTTTACCAATGGCTTACCCACACGTTTGTTAGTTTTATAAAGAAAATAATTTTTGCACTGAGGTTCAGTTTCCCATGGAACCTCCCTATATGTATATGTATGTACTATACTTTGGATTTGTAGTTAATAAAAATCTAACTGGCCAAACTAATGTATATTTTCAGCTCCACGCTGTTACAATCCACGTTTAAAAATAGCAAGTCACAAACTACTGCAGTTAAGAATAAAACTTCGCCAACATTACAAAAAAAGGCAAGTTCACGTTCGAATCGTCGAAAGAAACGTCGAAACAAACATCAGCAAAATTCTTCAGCGTCCAATTTTTCACAAGAACCGGGGCAGATTATAAAATTTAACAATATGCCAGCCCGTTTCGCCGAAGATATCATAGCCGACAACGACCGTAGCGTTCCATTGACTATTGGGAGACACTACAACCGCAATGCGATTATGAACGACGATATCGTTATAACAGGCTTTTCTGGCAGGCTCCCCGAGAGTTCAAGCATTGAAGAGTTTAAACGAAATCTCTATGATGGTGTGGACCTAGTCAATGATGATCCTAGGCGTTGGGAACGAGGTAAGATACAAAACGTTGGAAATAAATAAGTAAAACCTATTTTTTTTTATTTTTTTCTGCGTTACATTGCAGGTCTCTATGGTTTGCCTGAAAGACTTGGAAAAATTAAAGCAGATGACTTGGAAGTATTCGATCAACAATTTTTCAGTGTTTCGGCAAAACAGGCTGAATGTATGGATCCACAAATGCGCATGTTACTCGAATCTACATACGAGGCAATTATTGATGCTGGTATTAACCCTGCAGAGTTGCGAGGTACACGCACCGGAGTATATATCGGTGTATCTAATTCCGAGACGGAAGCTCATTGGACTGAAAATGCAGATCGTGTCAATGGATACGGTTTGACTGGATGCGCACGCGCTATGTTTGCGAATCGTATTTCTTACACATTTGATTTGAAAGGACCTAGCTTTGCAGTGGACACCGCATGTTCCAGTTCTTTGTATGCCTTATCCCAGGCATTTTCAGATATGCGAGCTGGAAGATGTGATGCTGCCATAGTGTGTGGTTCCAATTTGGTTTTAAAACCAGAGATGTCATTGCAGTTTAGACGCCTAAATATGTTGAGTGATAGCGGCATGTGCAAAGCTTTTGACGAGACGGGAGCTGGCTACGTTCGATCTGATGGCGTTGTGGTACTGCTTTTGCAACTAACTTCTGCCGCAAAACGAGTTTATGCTTCAATTCTGAATGCACGTACAAACACCGATGGGTTTAAAGAACAGGGCATAACATATCCTGATGGACGTATGCAAAATCGATTGATCCGTGAAACCTACGAAGAAATTAACTTGGATCCAAATGAAGTCGTTTATGTTGAAGCTCACGGTACTGGCACCAAAGTCGGAGATCCGCAAGAAGTCAATTCAATTACGGACTTCTTTTGCAAAAATCGCACAAATCCGTTACTAATTGGTTCAGTTAAATCAAATATGGGCCACTCAGAACCCGCGTCTGGTGTTTGTTCCATTGCTAAGATTTTGATTGCGATGGAAGAAGGCGTAATTCCGGGCAATTTGCATTACAGCAAACCCAATCCTGACCTGTACGGATTGATAGATGGTCATCTAAAAGTGGTCGATAAAAATATGCCTTGGAATGGGGGTATTATTGGGCTTAACTCTTTTGGTTTTGGAGGAGCCAATGCTCACATAATTCTTAAATCGAATCCGAAACCAAAAATTTTAACTCCTCGTGACGGACCCCCAAAATTAGTTATCAGTTCTGGTCGGACAATGGATGCTGTTCAAGATTTACTTGAAGACGCCACCACACATCGCGATGATGATGAATATCTAGCTCTTATCAACGGCATACATACCCAACCCATTTCGCTGCATTACTACCGCGGCTACGATGTTCTCACTAGCAAAGGATCCGTGCAACGTGAGGTTGTTGAGTTTTCTGAAGAAACGCGCCCAATTTGGTTTGTTTATTCTGGTATGGGCAGTCAATGGGGAAGCATGGCTAAGGACCTCCTCCAATTTGATATCTTCAGAAAGTCAGTTCAGCGTTGCGCTGAAATTTTGCGCCCCGAAGGCATCGACCTGCTTGAGATATTAACGCGTTCCACCGACGAAAAATTCAGTGATATTGTGAGCTCATTTGTTTCAATTACCACTATGCAAGTTGCTCTTACAGACTTATTATCCTCACTTGGTATCCATCCTCAAGGTATTGTTGGGCATTCCGTTGGTGAGTTGGGTTGTGCGTATGCAGATGGCGGTTTGACCGCCGATCAAGCAGTTTTGGCTACATATTGGCGAGGACGTGCTATTAAGGAATCAAACCTGCCTAAAGGAAAAAATGGCCGCTGTTGGATTATCTTGGGAAGACGCTCATAAGCGCGTGCCATCAGATTGCTATCCAGTTTGCCACAATAATCAAGATAATTGCACAATTGCTGGTCCTGGTGACTCAATTGATGCTCTGCTATTGAAATTAAACGCTGAAGGCGTATTCGCTAAGGCTGTTAGCTCATCTGGATTCGCCTTTCACAGCAAATATATTGCCGGCGCAGCCCCAAAACTGAGACAAATGTTGGAAAAAATAATTCCTACTGCTAAAAACCGCACACAACTATGGATAAGCAGCAGTATTCCAGAAAGTGCTTGGAATACTCCTGTTGCCAAGCAGTCATCAGCAGCTTATCATGTGAATAATATGTTGTCTCCTGTGTTATTCTATGAGGCGCTACAACATATTCCATCGAACGCAATTTGCATTGAGATAGCACCGCATGGTTTATTGCAAGCTATTCTCAAACGTGCTCTTGGACGTGACGTTCTAAATATTAGCCTAGTAAAACGTGGACATCCAAATAATGCTGAATTCCTTTTGGCTAATATAGGAAAATTATATGCAGCTGGAGGTCAACCGCAGGTACAAAATTTAGTGCGTCCGATTTATTATCCTGTAGGACGTGGAACCCCAATGTTGAACTCAAAAATAGGCTGGGACCATTCCCAAAGGTGGCTAGTTCCAAAATATGGTGCCTCCAAATCTTCAGGCGATACAGTCATTGAAATCGATTTATCAAATGATGAGGATGCATTCTTAATGGGTCACACCATCGACGGACGTATTTTGTTCCCTGCTACTGGTTACATGACTTTAGCATGGATGACATTTGCAAAAATGCGCGGTGTCGAGTTCAGTAAGGCTGCTGTGGTCATGGAAGACTTAATATTTCATCGTGCAACTATTTTAAACAAAGACACAGTTACTAAATTCGGGATTAACTTTTTTGATGGCACTGGTGCATTTGAGATATGCGAAGCTGGAAGTTTAGCTATGTCGGGAAAAATAAAAATTGTCGATAATATCACACTAGAGGAATTACAGTTGCAACCGCTTTCATCTAATAGTATTTCCCGTGAGTTAGTTGGAAATGATGTTTATAAAGAACTGCGTCTACGTGGCTATGATTATGGAGGAAGTTTTCGTGGAATCGTTACATCAGATATATCTTCTCGTGCTGGTAAACTACAATGGGTGGACAATTGGATAAGTTTTATGGACACCATGTTACAGTTTAGTATATTGAGTAAGGATTTGCGTGAGCTTTACTTGCCGACTCGCATTGAGAAGGCGGTTATTAATCCAAGCAAACATTTAGAAATTTTATCACAACTATCGGAAGAAGACCTTACCAAAGTCGGCATACCAGTATATATGTATAGCAATATTAATGTTATCAAAAGTGGAGGTGTTGAATTACGAGGCCTCAAAGCTTCGTTAGCGCAGAAACGTCCAAATGCCCAAAACCCTCCAACGTTAGAGCGGTACACGTTTATACCCAATTTAAATCATTCAGAGCTACACGAGAACTCAGGAAAGGCAGGATCGCATGCTCTCTCGGTGGCAATCCAACTTGTTATAGAAAATGCCGAGCGTTCCTTCAAAATTAAGGGAGTAGAACTTGGAAATGGCCGAAACCCCGAATCTTTGGCGGCTGGAAAGCTCGTGCAATTCATTGAAGGAGAACCTGCGGTTGCTGCCGATATTTCTGTGGCTACTGCAAGTAAAGATGAGGAAAGCATTAAGTCCGCTTTAAGCGACTTTGGTGTTCGAGTAATTTCGAAAAATATAGCGAAGGAGCCGGTTGAGCAGAACTGCAACTTCTTGTTTGGAACCGACGTACTTTCTCGCCCTGATACAGCCGTTTTGGAAAATAGTATTGCCAGTATCAAAGATAATGGATTTTTGATATTTGACGAAAGTGTTAATTCTTATAAAACTTCTGGTCCCGCCGTATTGTCCAAATATGGATTTGTGATTGTACAAGAGTTATTCAAAGGCGATTCTAGAATTCTCGTCGTGACAAGGCGTGCTGTTGACTTAAGCAAACGAAAATCTGAGATTATCAACGTAACCGAGAAAAGATTTGACTGGTTAGAGGATTTAAAATTGGCACTTGTAAAGGCAGGTGAAGAAGAGAAATACATATACATTGTCTGCCAAGGAGAAGAACTGTTTGGAGCTGTGGGGTTAACCACGTGTGTCACATATGAGAATGGTGGTAAATTTGTTAGAACCGTTTTTATTCAGGACGCAAATGCTGAAAAGTTCTCATTAACTTCACCATTTTATCAAGAACAACTAGTGAAAGATTTGACTTTAAATGTGGTTAAAAATGGTAACTGGGGCACGTACAGGCATTTGAAATTGGAGAAAGAATTAGCCACCTTGCAAGTGGAGCATGCTTACGTCAATGCTCTAGTGAAAGGTTTGTTAAAATTACTTACTTATTATAGCTATGTGCATATGTATATATTTAAGCATGCATCGTCGTCAGTATTAGAAAAGGATCCAAACCAAATAGATGGTTTTCACGAAGGAATGTATTTATTATAAACTTTGACAGCTCATCCAAAGTATCGAGATTTCGATGTTTTAAAAGCTTTCTTTACTTTACTCTAGTGTCTCGTTAGTTACAATGACGATGCACATACAGATGTCTATTAAAAAGGCAAACATTAATGATAAGGAGATCGGATTTTTGTTTGTATGTAACGCGAGGAAGTCTAAAGGCTTGCGTTTGACAGATAAGGTTAATATACTTACCTATATACATATGTGCATGCGTAAATGTATGTATGCATTTCTTATTTTTACCTTCCTTTTTTATTATTACCTTCCCTTTATTAACTCGGGATGTAACTATGTAATATTGATGCGACTAAAAGACGCAGCGATTTCTATTCTCAAGCTACATACAATGATGACAGTACGAATGACAATTATAATAGGGAGGTTTTAGTTTTTTTAAACTATAATTTTATTATCGTAAATGTCAAACGCACGTTTAAGCTAATATTAAATTCTGATTAAACCTACTTTTTCTTAGTTTCATAAGAACAGTTTTGATTATATAATCATTATCTCTTCGGTAAAATTTATCGTCAACAGTACTTTGAAAACAACAGCTTGCATTGCACTGATATTAAAAAATGCACATTTCTATTATTATGCTTTGATCTTACATTTAGAAAATTACCGATCTTCAAACTCTAGGTTCAAGTCATAATCTCTGAATCTATTGCGACCTGCAAGAATATTCTTTATATTTCTTTTTGTGTAACTTTAAATTTCTAGAAGGTTTCCTGAGCTATATTTAGTAAATAGCGGTAACTTTAATGTGCATACTGACCAGTGGCGTAGCCAGGATTTGGTGAATGGGGGGGGATTACAAAAAAATTCCCATCGATAACTTAAAATTGTGATACACAATGGCTAGAGGCGTCGCCTGTGGGCATTCTTTCATATATGTATGTATGTGCCATTTTTACCGTTATATATTTTTTTTCTACTCGGTTATTCCATGGGGAATTCATGCTTTACTTATTTAAATTTAAAAAATTAAATTACTACACCATTTTAATTAATCAGTGTGTACTCCAGTTTTGTTTTGTAGAAGTTTCGTTAGTATACACTTCAGTTTTTACACATTGAATGTATCTGCATAGTTATATATTTACGCGTATCTATTTACATGTATGTACAAGTCTACAAAATCGTATTACTTATAAAGCGATTTTTAATCTTCGTGGCTTAACACATACTTTTTCAATTACTTCTTGTGTTGTAATCGGTACATCATTATGTACCGCTAACATCGTTAAACCATTCAGCCGCTCCTTAAATGTATAAAAAGAAGGGACAAATAAGATAGCATATTCAACAATTGAGTAGTCCACTTTCAAAGTGCGCTATGTAAATTTTTTTTTTCGATTTTTAGGTTTTGGTGGGTTTCATGTACACTAACAACAGAGTGAAAATTTTTTCTATATTCTAAAAAAAATATGAAATGTTAACTACTCTTGCAAAAGTCGCTATAATACTTATTTATACACTTTCAAAAGTCTCCTCTTCGTATGAACTTAGAAAACTGCAAGAAAACATGGTAGTTTCGGTGCCTACACGGTCAACAATTTGGGTTTAATTTTTAAACCGCGCTGGGACTACTGCCTTTTTTAATATCTTATAGTCTACTTTTTACAGACAGCTAGCGCTTTCGCTACTCGACTCTCACACCTGCTCTCAGAGAGCACTCTTCAACAAACCGACATATGCGAGCAGTGGAACCACATTTCCCGCTCATTAAGTACCGCCGCCGAAGAAGTAGTCGGATTTCAGCGAGCCCGAAAGAACAACTGATACGATGAGGAGTGTCAGGAAGCTGCAGAAAAAAAGATGCCGCCTACAGGGCCACGCTGCGATCGGGCGCAACGCGCGCTATGTGGGACCGCTATAGGGATCTGAAGAGGGAAGCGAGACGTATTTGCCGCAATAAGAAGAGGAGGCCGAAATACGTGAGTGCGAAGAGCTTGAAATGCTGGCCAACAGGAAGAATGCCCGAAAATTTTACCAGAGAGTTAGGCGACTTACGGAAGGATTAAAGACCGGGGCGTACTCCTGTAAGAACAATTATGGCGACCTAGTAACTGATGTCCAGAGCGTACTTAAATTATGGAGGGAACACTTTTCCGCCCTACTAAATGGAAGCAGCACGGAAAGTTGTGGAGAAGAAGAACCCGAGCCCGCAGTCGATGATGACGGAGTCGACGTTCCACCGCCTGACTATGACGAGGTACGTATAGCAATAACGTGGCTGAAAAACAACAAAGCTGCTGGAGCTGACAGCCTGCCCGCTGGGCTATTCAAGTACGGCGGCGAGGAGTTGATAAGGTGCATGCATCAACTCTTTTGCAGAATATGGTCAGATGAACGCATGCCCGACGACTGGAATTTAAGTGTGCTGTGCCCAATCCACAAGAAAGGTGACCCCGCCATTCGCGTCAACTACCGCGGGATCAGCCTTCTAGGCATAGGTTACAAGGTCTTATCGAGCGTATTGTGCGAAAGACTGAAGCCCACCGTCAACGAGCTGATTGGACCTTATCAGTGTGGCTTTAGGCCTGGAAAATCCACCTTAGATCAGGTATTCACAATACGCCAAATCTTGGAAAAGACCCGCGAGAATAGGATCGACACGCACCATCTATTTGTCGATTTCAAAGCCGCTTTCGACAACACGAAGAGAAGTTGCCTTTATGCCGCGATGTCTGAATTTGGTATCCCCGCGAAACTAATACGGCTGTGTAAAATGACGTTGAGCAACACCACCAGCTCCGTCAGAATTGGGAAAGACCTCTCAGAGGCGTTCGCCACAAAACGGGGTTTCAGACAAGGCGACTCCCTTTCATGTGACTTCTTTAATCTGGTGTTGGAGAAGATAATAAGAGCTGCAGAACTGAACCGCTCAGGAACAATTTACTACAAGAGCGTGCAATTGCTGGCTTATGCCGATAACATCGACATCATCGGTAACAAAAACCGCGAAGTCTGTTCTGCCTTTTCCAAGTTGGATAGGGAAGCAAAGCGAATGGGTCTGGTGGTAAACGAGGACAAGGCGAAGTATCTCCTGTCATCAAACAAACAGTCAGCACATTCACGCCTTGGCACCCACGTCACTGTTGACAGTTACAATTTCGAGAAAGTAGAGAATTTCGTTTACTTGGGAACCAGCATTAACACCGATAATAATGTCAGCATTGAAATCTAACGCAGAATCACTCTTGCCAACAAGTGCTACTTTGGACTGAGTAGGCAATTCAGGAGTAAAGTCCTCTCTCGACGTACGAAAACCACGCTCTACATATAAGTCACTCATCATGCCCGTGCTGGTATATGGCGCAGAAACATGGACAATAACAACATCCGATGAGGCGGCTCTTGGAGTGTTTGAGAGAAAGATTTTGCGGAAGATTTACGGGCCTTTACGCGTTGGCGACGGCGAGTACCGCAGACGATGGAACGGTGAGCTGTATGAGCTTTACAACGATATGGACATAGTGCAGCGAATTAAAATACAGCGGCTCCGCTGGCTTGGTCATGTCGTTCGAATGGACACCGACGCTCCAGCTCTGAAAGTATTCAACTCGGAACCCGCTGGTGGTAGCAGAGGAAGAGGGAGGCCCCCACTGCGATGGAAAGATCAGGTGAAGAATGACTTGGCTTCACTTGGCGTTTCCAATTGGCGTCAGTTGGCACAGAGGAGAAACGACTGGCGTGCTTTGCTGAACTCGGCCAAAATCGCTTAGGCGGTTACAGCGCCAAAAAAAGAAGAAGAAGAGTCCACTTTTTAAGCTAGTCAATAGTTTTAAGCAATTTTTAATATATTGTGGTTTAAATTTTAGTCCAAAAAGCTCGTGGTTTAAAAATCAAACCAAAATGATTTAATTCTAGTTTCTAGGTTTCATTTATTTAGAAAATTTGGTTTAAAATCTAAACCGAAATAGAAAACGTTTGCACACAGCGAAATGTGGTGTTGATTCAAACTTAACATATGAAAGCACATTTACATGCGTGGCTGTAGCTGAGTGTGCAAAGATGCTGATAGAATTGGTTGCTACCAAGGCTGTCCGGGTTCAATCCCCATCAGACGCAGCATGAAATTTAAGATTTTTTATTTGTTGTTCTTGATTATGACAATGTTTGGATCTAAAATTAAAATTTTTTTTTAAACTTGGAAGGTTTGTATTTGAAATTGAATTTAGTTTGGTCATACATATATGTAGTCCAAAAAGTTTAAAATTTAAACCGAAGTTTTTAACCGTGTAGTGGAAGAGGTCGCAAAAAAGAAGCAAATCAATCTTCCTAGAGCAGAGAACGCGAAAAGCTAAAAAAAGCTGGCTATGTAAAAGTTACTGCTTCAAAACTTGCAATATTAAATTTTTAAATATAAAATTTGCAAATCAACAATACCGCAATTTAATTTTTTAATGGTATTAGGCTATTATTTATCCAAATTTTCAGGTAATAAACAAGATACAGTTCGGATGTTACTTGTTGTCGTAGACGTTTTTTTTTTCAATTTATGGCTTACTTTTTTAAAATCACATAACGCTGTTTGCAAGTGGACTACTCATATATTCATTAAAAGATAATTTGGCGTCCGTCTGAAATAAAAAAATTTTAAATCAGAAGGATAAAATAATATTGTGTTATTAATTCAAAAGTAAATAATTGTAGTTCAATGACGAAGGGGGGATCTATCCCCCCAAATCTCGCCCCCCTGGCTACGCCACTGATACTGACTTACATATGCGTATACATACATACTTTAATTCTTAATTATTACGTTTCTCTTATTAACATTCAGGTGATCTTGCGTCTCTAAAATGGATCGAAGCATCACCATCTCAAAATGTCAGAAATGATGACTTAGAATTGTGTACAGTTTATTATGCTCCTATAAACTTCAGAGATGTTATGTTGTCATCTGGTAAATTATCAGCTGATGCTCTTCCTGGCGATTTGGCACAACAAGATTGTGTGCTTGGTCTTGAATTCTCTGGGCGTGACTCCTCTGGCAGACGCGTTATGGCTATGGTACCTGCTAAATCATTGGCTACAACCTGTCTGACTAGCAAGTATATGATGTGGGAAATCCCATCGAATTGGACAATGGAAGAAGCATCTACTGTGCCTTGCGTATATTCCACGGTTTACTATGCACTAATTGTACGAGGAGAAATGAAGAAGGGAGAGAAGATCTTGATTCATGCTGGTTCGGGAGGAGTTGGCCAAGCAGCCATTTCAGTTGCCTTGCATCACGGCCTGACTGTATTTACTACTGTTGGAAGTAAGGAGAAACGCGACTTCTTAAAACAACGATTCCCACAGCTGCAAGACCGATTCATTGGAAACTCACGTGATACGTCTTTTGAACAATTGGTCATGTCCGAAACACAAGGAAAGGGTGTTGACTTAGTGCTTAATTCGCTCTCAGAAGAAAAATTACAAGCTTCTGTCCGTTGTTTGGGCATTAATGGACGCTTCTTGGAGATTGGAAAGTACGATTTAAGCAACAACAGTCCTCTTGGTATGTCGGTATTCTTGAAAAACACATCCTTTCATGGAATTCTTCTGGACAGTGTCATGGAAGGAGAAGAGGAAATGCAAAAACGAGTTGTTCATTTAGTTGCTGATGGCATTAAAAACGGTGCAGTGATTCCACTTCCCACATCTGTGTTTAATGAATTCCAAATTGAACAGGCTTTCCGCTTTATGGCATCCGGAAAGCATATCGGTAAAGTTGTCATTAAGGTTCGTGATGAAGAACCTGGAAACCTACATAAACCTACATCGCGTTTAGTAAACGCGATTCCACGTACATATATGCACTCAGAAAAGAGTTATATACTTGTAGGAGGCTTAGGCGGTTTCGGCTTGGAACTTGCACATTGGATGGTGTTACGCGGAGCGCGTTACATTATTCTTACATCAAGATCGGGCATTAAAACTGGATACCAGACGCTTATGGTCCGCCGTTGGGAGGAGCGTGGTGTAAAGATAGTTGTGGATACAAATGACGTTACTACTTCTGAAGGGTGTAAGAAATTACTGCAAAATGCAAATAAATTGGCATTAGTTGGGGGAATATTTAACTTGGCTGCAGTATTACGCGATGCCTTAATTGAAGACCAGACCATTCAAGACTATCAGACTGTTTGTAAACCAAAAGTCGATGGCACAAAATTCCTTGATATGCACTCTCGTACACTTTGCCCTGAATTGGACTACTTTGTGTGTTTTTCGAGTGTTTCGTGCGGCCGCGGTAACGTTGGCCAATCCAATTACGGATTGGCGAACTCTGCCATGGAGCGCATCTGCGAACTACGTCGAGTCAGTGGATTACCCGGCCTTGCTATTCAGTGGGGTGCCATTGGAGATACGGGTCTTGTACTTGAAGGATTAGGTGATAACGACACTGTAATTGGTGGCACACTACCCCAACGCATGAGTTCATGTCTTCAAACGATTGACCTGTTCTTACAACAACCACACCCCGTTCTGGCATCGATGGTTGTAGCTGAAAAACGAAGCAGCGATCCATCTGGTGGCGTGAGTTTAGTGGCAGCCATAGCTAATATTTTGGGACTGAGAGACGTGAAAAACGTGCAAGACGGCGCTTCCTTGGCTGACCTCGGTATGGATTCATTGATGAGTTCCGAAATTAAACAAACATTGGAGCGCTGTTTTGATATAGTTATGTCGCCGCAAGAAATACGCGCTCTTACTTTTGGCCAGCTGAAACAACTGGATGGCGCTTCTGCTGATAGACCCGCATCAGTACCCAGCTCTCCTGCAACACGCACTCCTACTCCAATTGGTGATGGAACACAAGTGGTTTTTGTAACTGAGCTAATGCCTTCAGAAGCTATTGTCCGTTTGAAATCTGCGGCACCAGCAGACTCAAAGAAACGGCCGATTTTCTTCGTTTCACCAATTGAAGGCTTCGTGGATGCCTTGAAAGAAGTTGCGGAGCGTTTAGATTGCCCGGTGTTTGGACTACAATGTACAGCTGACGCTGATCTTGATTCTATTGAGGGTTTGGCCAAATTCTACATTAAACATGTAAGAAAAATTCAACCTAAAGGTCCATATGCTATTGCTGGGTATTCATTTGGTGCCACGGTTGCCTTCGCAATGGCAGTAGAACTGGAACAAAACAAAGATGCAGCACAATTAGTTTTGTTAGATGGTGCGCCGAAATATGTCAACTGGTACACAAAAGCCTTCAAAAAGCGTTACAACACTTCTGATGATAAGGATCAGAACCAAGCATTTGCTTTGGCGTACTTTGGCGTTGTAGCTGCTAATACAGGTTTCAATGTTAGTATCAAACCGAAATAACTCAAAGTAAACAATGAGTTGTGATTATTTAAATGTTTTTCAATTTAGGTGGCAAAACTGTTGGTAGATATTCCAACATTTGAAGGCAAAGTGGAAAAATGTGCGGATATAGTTGCTGCAGCATTGGATAAGCCTATTGAATTGGTAAATAGTATGCATTTCATTATGAGTAACCGATTATAATTTTAACTTTTAACTATAGGTCAAATCGGCTGCTGCATCATTCTACTATAAACTGGCTGCATCTGACAATTACTTTGTCACACATAATTTGCAGTGTGACGTTACGTTGATAAAGCCAACGGAAAATTACTCTAAACTAGAGGTGGATTACGGCTTAAACGAAGTATGCAATGGAAAAGTCGACGTCCTCATCGTTGAAGGAAATCATCGCACGATCTTGTTGGATGATGAGCCTCTCCAAACTATTGTGGCTTCACTGAATCGTTTACAAAATTAATCTTTTATTAGAAGTTTAACCAAGACTTTCATGGATATTATCATATGCTTATTCTATCTTCTATAAATCATGCACCAGATGTTTTATTAATACGTAAGCATTCCCTTGAAAGTTGCTGGCATTTAAAAACCAAATAACTAAAATTAGTATAAAGAAGTCACCTTTACTTATTAAAAATGAACGAGTTGTAAAGGCGGATTCACCGTTCGTGCCCGGATACGTTTTGTTGGTAATTTTACATCATCTTTTTCCACTCTGTTGTGTTGGACACTCTTTGTTCGAATCAAATTGAATTTAATTTTCTGTCCAAACGACCCACAGTGGTTCAAATAGAACAATGTGGACAAAATTATTTACCTGGATCTTCTGACTTACATGGCTGTAATTAATCACAATGTTTACATTTTGTGCAATAAAATTGTAATCGGAGCTTATCGTCTAATTATAAACATACATATATCTATTTAAGTACATTAGAATGCATCACTCCACATACAAAAAAATCGGTAGTATATTTCCATCGGAATTACAAAATCTATTATATTTTATGACTTCCACCAAAATATTTCGGAAAAATATTAAGATTTGCGTGAGCTGGATCGATTTGAAAATACCTCCAAAAATGGAGTTTTCTATGAAAAAAATATAGTTTCTTAAAAATTATTTTGAAAAAATGCTCTTAAATGACAAAATCGGTTATCTTTAACATATAGTACTCATAAAGCTGATTGTTCATATATGGAGCTTTATACTAAAAAAACTATCAATAATCAGCTGAATGGGAGCTATATGCTATAGTAAACCGATTTAGATGATTTTCAAAAATAGTCCTAATATTAAAAAAAAGTCATGTAAAAAATTTTAGAAATATAACTTTAGGGAGTTATTCAAAAAGAGTGAAAATTTTTAATTAATATTACCTCGGAAATTGGATCCAATCCGGCAAAATGGGGACGCCATTAAATTTAGAAAGTCCCAATTAAGTACGACCAACTATCAAAACCTTTGCTCAAGAAAAAAAGTTCAAGATCCCAGATATAAACTGCCATATTTAAAACTAGACTGGTGCTAGGTGGGGAAATACTACTTTCACACTAATAAATGCAATTAGTTGCAAAAGAAATTTGAAATTTAAGATTTTGACATTTCTTCTATACTAATAAATAGTGATGAATACAAGATAACAAAGAAAATAAATGGTACTTACCTTTGGCTTGCAAATCCATCACAAATATAAAGTAAACATACCTCTACAAAACAAAGACATGCAAGATACCACTAAGTCCACATCATAAAATTAAACAACACACGTAAGCGTTTTTCTGAAAAGAACAATTAATTACTTATCCTTGAATTAATTAATTAATTACTTATCCTAATAAATGCAATTAGTTGCAAAAGAAATTTGAAATTTAAGATTTTGACATTTCTTCTATACTAATAAATAGTGAAGAATACAAGATAACAAGGAAAATAAATAGTACTTACCTTTGGCTTACAAATCCATCACAACTATAAAGTAAACATACCTCTACAAAACAAAGGCATGCAAAATAGCACTAAGTCCACATCATAAAATTAAACAACACACGTAAGCGTTTTTTGAAAAGAACAATTACTTAATTACTTATCCTTGAAAAAAAATAATCATGCAAAAATTTTATTTAATTCACAATAAGAAAAATATTGCTTGCCATTTTTAATATATATAATACAAAAATGCAATGTCGACTTTTGCCCAGCTAGCTTGTTCGAATCACTGTGCGACCTGATGATTAAGGCAGCCGCTTTCTCTCTTTTATTTTATGTATTTGGAAGCGAATTACATGTACTATTTCTTCTCAAAATCATAGTTTCGTATGCATGCAACAATATCATCAGTTGTTTGCTTCAGAACAGAATAAATTGTGCCGAACTGAACGGTGAGAGCAATTAAAAAGATGCCCGGACACCAGCGGATAATCCGCTTTAAATGACAACGATATATACAAAAATTGTAAAATACTTATTGGCAACGTTTGTATAAGTAAAGGCGGGCCTCCATAGCACGCGTATCCACATGCGTCCGTTTGACATAGAAGTCAAAATTCATACAAATTTCTTATGTGTTCAAGTGCTGCCATGTAGGTGCTGCCTTAAATAAAAACGCACGCATACGTATACGCATGCTATGGAGGTCCGCCTTCAATCTATAGGTCTTAAATCTCAACTATACATTGTTATTTCGATATGCGTACTTTTGTCTTAGAAATTATCTAGAGTACTTTGGTTACTTTTGCATTTTGTTACAGTCGAATGGATAACATAGTTTTATAAATTTATATATATAAGTGCATACATTTCTCTATTCAAAAGCGCCTTTATCTAATTTTGTTAGTAAGATGAAATGTAATTTCGATCAAATCATTCCTTAAAGAAATACTAATTTCGTATAATAGAAATAATTTGGCCACAAATATAAATATTATTTATGTAATACATGCTTATAAAAAAAGAAAATTCCTTTCCGTTGAAAATAGAAATTACGAGCTAAACACAAGTTCTATGATAGTAACATAACTACATTGTTCTAGCATTTCAATGAAATTTGAGGAAATTGAATGTAAAGCGAATTAGGGTTTTAGAGTCACAAATAATTTATCCATTAATTAAGAGTTCTAGTGACACGTCAGAATGGCGCTACAAAATCGAAAACCAGTTATCCCATAAAGATATTGCGGATTATTTTTTTTTTTATCTTCTTAGTATAAAACTATATAATTTACTAGTTATTCCCCATTTAACTTAATTTATAAATATGAACGCTCGAATAAGGCTTCAAATCTGGTTATTTCTGAAATACTTATGTATGTAAATATTAAACATTTAAAATTTATGTACATACATATGTACAATGGATGTTCCCAAATGCCTTTGAAATTAAATTTACATTAAGAAAATGCTACCTATTTATGGCGAAAATAAAAATATGTAGGTATCTTGAGTTAAATAATGTTTTATTATTTTGTAGAGGTATTCGATTATTTCTGCATAAGGGCTG